AGCAGATGGCGCTAAACTGCAGAAATAATAATAATAATAATAATAATTCATTTAAATGCAGCCCTTACCCTGTAAACCCTGTAAACAAAGCAGCTGCACTACTTTCTGTTTCTGAATCATGTTTAAATGATTTAAACAACCTATTAAGTCTAAATGTTTAAGTATTTGGCGCTGTGATGAACATCATAGCAAATACACAAATCTGAATGGCTATTTATTTTCAATCTTTTTTTACATTTTAATCTGGACTACAACATGCCCTAGATATTGTTTGAAAGTGTTTTGATTCTTTATTGTTCGGTCACACTTTACATTAGGGCTTCATTAGTTAACATTAGTTAATTCATTAGTTAACATAAACCGCCAATGAAAAATTCTTCTGAACATTCATTAATCTTAGGTAATTACAATATTTAATAACAGGTTGTTAAAATCGAAAGTTGCAACTGTTATTTAATGAGCTAACACGAACTAAGACTTGTATTTTTTTAACAAAGATGAATAACTTCTGTAGCAAATGTAGCTATTGCTCATTGTGAATGTTAATGCATTAACTAAGGTTAACTAATGAGGTCTTATTGTAAAGTGATACCTATTGGTCTTTATAGTTCTTTTGCACTTTAATCTGTGTAAAACTTTTAACTTTATACATTTTTCTGTATTGCTTTATTGCATTTAAATGTTCAGTTATTTTTGTTACAAGAAAAAAGTTATTAAACCTGTTATACTGTATTATGACAGCACTTTTTTTTTTAAAACTAAATTTCAATACCGTGATAATACCGTATACCGTGATAAAAGCATGAGCAATTAATCGCAACATGAGAATTTGATACCGGCATATCCCTAGTTTAAACATTTTAACATTTTTCTGATTCAAAAAAAAAAAATTAATCCTTTGTTTGATTATCGTCACGCTGGTCTCACCTTCTGTTCGTTCGTCAAAGTCCTCATCTCCTTCCTCTGAAGCAACAGAGTAATCTGATTGGCCATCAGACTGATCATCCTGCCAGTCTGTAACGAAACAAGAAACATGATTAACATTTAAACTTAAAAGCACTTTCAATGGCTGTTTATATAAACCCGGACAAAACACTTACAAGTGTGGTTTATAGTTTAATAGTGCTAGCACATCTCTCACCTCTGTCCTCCTGAGAGCCATCGTTGTAGTTGACCTGTTTGCGGATTCGCTTGCCCTTGCCCAGATTACGAGCCAAATCCTCCTGCTGCTGCTCGTAATGGTGTCGGAGCAGTTTCTCCCAGTAATCTGGATCCACACTTTCCTCCTGCTTGATGATCTCCCTCTGAACTTCCTCTTCCTGAGGGAGAAGACAGGAAACAGTGAAAAAGGTACGTTTCCTTTTGGTAAAAACATATGGTAAAAACTACATATTTAACCATATTATGGAAGACACTGCACGGAAGCCACATGACCAAACCGCAGCTTGTCATAGCATGTGTGGCAACTAAGGCTACACGATTTGTCAAAAAACTATGCTAATGGAATATTTTCAGATAAAAATTGCAATTGACATTTAATATGCAAAATAAACTTTTTTTGTAAATAAACTCTAGGTTTGATAAGCTAAAATAATAATAGTTATTGCTACAGTTAAACAATTAAATATTACAATATAAACAGTATTTATTAAAATAAATGAAATAAAATAAATGATCTATTACTATTGTAAAAGTAAACGGTATTTAAGAAAAATTTTAATTAAGAATATTATATACAATTTATAATATAAAATAAATCAAGCATTTCTAAAAAAAAAATTTTTTTAATTAATTAAAGTTTTGCTTTACAGTATAACTATAAAATATATAAATAGTATAATATACTGTATATATATAAAACTATAAAATTACAATAATACTTATGGCTGTCTTCATTTTCTTTTAACATTAAAACCCAAATTATATTACTATTGTAATATTTCACTGTAAAATGACTAAAGACATAAAATATTAAAAATGAAAAATCCCCAGTGTAATCACAAAATTACAATACTAATATTTATGTCTGTCTTCACTTTCGAGCATTAAACCATCAAGCTTTTATTTTGGCAGAAAACAGCAGGAGACCTTAAAGTTTCTCTTTTGTTAACAACACAAGGTTGGAACATATGGCATTCCCAAAAAGCACGTTATAAGCAACACTAAGCCATATCACGATTTTGCTGTAATTGCCGATTCGTGCAGTCCTAGTGCCAGCTGTTATCCCACATGTCCAGCAGCCCCCAGTGCTCTTTACTGACACTCACCGCTTCCTCCTCATCCTTGACCACATACTGAGCCACTTTGAAGGAGCTGAGATACTCGTTCATGCTCTGGATCTCGGTGTCATCTGTGGCGTCCTGGTTACGATCCAGCAGCCGGTCAATTGCTTTGTCATCATAGTGGATCACGCTGCTGTCCTCTTCTTTATTCTCTCCTTAACAGATAAACACAACCAGTTTCAATGTCGGTTCTTTAGGTGAGAAACTGTGTTGGTAGAAAGTAAAGCAGTTTGTAACTCCAGCCACACCTTCTGCCTCGTCTTTGAAGAGCTCCTCTGTACCAAATTTGAGAATGTCATCAAGCTCCTGTTTGGACATCGAACCGGTCTTTGAGCCCAATCCAGGACGCACAACCAAGTGAGTCAACATCATCTTCTTCTTGGCCACCTTGAGATTAAATGAAGACCAATCAGTTTAGATTCAAAAGACAGTGTTGGCAAAACAAAATAATAATAATTGTGTCACAGAAAAATTGTAGTGTACCTGAGTAATTCTCTCTTCTACAGAGGCTTTGGTTACAAAGCGGTAGATCATAACTTTCTTGTTTTGACCAATCCTGTGAGCTCTGCTAAAGGCCTACAAGAGAAAACACCAACCGCCAGTGTAGATGAATTTACCAAGTCAGATCTTATTATAAGATTTTTCTTATATCAAACATCACAGACATCCATTGCCGATCTCACCTGAATGTCATTGTGAGGGTTCCAGTCAGAGTCATAGATGACGACGGTGTCTGCGGTTGCCAGATTGATACCCAGACCACCGGCTCTGGTCGACAGCAGGAAAGCAAACTGGGGAGCACCAGGAGCTAGAGCAGGAAAAATCCCATTCATTATGACACTTAGAAATGGAGTTTATACAGAGCAAGAGAGAACAAATGTACAAACCACATCAGTTACATAGCAAACATCTGGTCTCACCATTAAAGCGGTCAATGGCTTCCTGTCTCATGCCTCCTGTGATACTTCCATCAATGCGCTCATATTTGTAGCCCTCGTTCTCCAGGAAGTCTTCTAGCAGGTCCAGCATTTTGGTCATCTAGAGAAGAGGGACAAAACATTCTAGGCATTTTAGTCATTAAAAACAAAAAATACAGTTTAAAAAAAAATAATAATAATGTGAAATATTACCATTTAAAATAAGTGTTTTCTATTACATAGATTTCAAAATGTCATTTATGTAATGCCATTTTGCTGCTCAAGAAACATTTCTAAATATCACTGTTAAACTAAAGTTGTGCAGCTTCATATTTTTGCAGAAAACCGTATTTTTACAGGATTCTTTGATTTTTAGAAAGTTCACAAGAACAGCATTTATTTAAAACAGAAATTTTCCGTAACATGTCTTTACGGTCACTTAATAATTGAACGTTTCCTTGCTAAATAGAAGTACTCATTTCTTTTAAAAACAAAAATCTGGCCTTTGAACGGCAGTATAAATATTTAAGACCTATTAATAGTAATATTTATTTTTATCGATACAAGAAAATAATAATAGTAATGAGAGACAGAATAAAGTTTGATATTGATTTTTTTGGAGAGGGCGTGAGGGGAGGATCTGCTTCAGAGATAAGAAGCATTCATTTGCCTAAGAGGTAAATGAATCCTAATAAATAAATGCTCGTTTACTTGAGAGAAGATGAGCACTCTGTGTCCGCCCTCCTTGAGTTTCCGCAGCATCTTGTGCAGTAGCAGCAGTTTGCCAGAAGATTTAGTCAAGGCGCTGCCTTCGTACATCCCATTGGGCATCTTGGCAGCTTCCTGTTTCACACAGCCAATCAGACGACATCTCAATCTTTTCAATTTCATCAATATGCAATTTACTCAAATATCACATAATACGACACGTTATTGGTCTGTTATTAAAGCCACAGGAAAAAGAGGACCGTACCATAGCAGCAACAGGGAAGAGATAGGGATGATTACAGCACTTCTTGAGGTCCATAACGACATTCAGCAGAGAAACCTGGTTTCCTCCACTACGAGTGTTCAGAGCCTCAAAATTGCGGGTCAGGATGAACTTGTAATATTTCCTGGATTCACAGATAAATGATTTAGAAACTCTGGCTCCTGTAACCTACTTCAGTCTATTCCTCATCACATACTCACTTTTGCATGGGGCTGAGCTCGACTCGGACGATGAGCTCTGTTTTGGAAGGCATGTGCTTGAACACGTCAGCTTTGAGTCGCCTGAGCATGTGTGGTCCCAGCATGTCATGAAGCTTTTTGATCTGGTCCTCCTTGGCAATGTCGGCAAACTCCTCCAAGAAACCCTCAAGATTACTGCAGAATGAGAGAGAGAGAGAGAGAGAGAGAGAGAGAGTCATTTATGTCTGCAGATACCCAGGGGGCCAGCAGATAGTGCTGAAGGGATTTTTTCATAAAACTACATGCAGATTTTCTTTTAAGTATTCATTTATGCTTCCTTACAACTTACAAATATTCATAAATAGTTGAACAGTGCATGCTTCAGTGAGTGGAGTTTTCTAGTACCACTGTTGTTTTTCCTCACTGGTTGTATGACAATTTATGTAAAGCAGCTAAATATTTCTATTACATTATTTGCAAAATTATTTGTAAAAATAATAATAATAATAATACATTTTTTTTTTTTAAAGTAGAATTTTTTATAATATTATTTATAAACAAAACTATCATCCAGATAGTTTTTATTTGTTGTTTAAAATATTTTATGTGCAATGTGAGATTCATTGAACTCATTTTATTTCAGTAATTTTATATAGGTCTTTCGAAGTCATGTTACAAAAATGTATATGCACACACATATATGAAAATGCTTTAAAAAATAATAACTAAATTATATACATTTTTTCATGTTATTACAATTAATCATTTGTTATAAAATGATTATTTATACATTTATTTTCTTTATTTTTATGTAATACCATGACATAATATTAAAAAGAACTTCAAGACTGCATGATCTTTAGATTTGAAATGAATCAGAAATGCACCTGAATCTCTCTGGTGTGAGGAAGTTAAGCAGATGGAAAAGCTCTTCTAAGTTGTTCTGTAGAGGAGTTCCAGTCAACAACAACTTATGCTGCAGTGGGTAGTTGTTCAGCACCCTGAAAAACTATACAAACCACCACAAAAATGTACCAATCAGTAAATTTAACTAGTTTTAACTACATCATTATTGCATAATCTATGTTGGTCTCACCTTTGACTGATTATTCTTCAGTCTGTGGGCCTCGTCAACTACCAAACAAGCCCAGTCGATGGAGCCCAGAACAGCCGTGTCAATAGTGATCAACTCATAGGAGGTCAACAGCACATGGAACTTCACGGAGGCTTCTTTCTGCATGACCATGAGGAAACAATCACTCATATATATATAGATTCAAGAGACTTAAGATTTTTCAATGGAAAGAGTAGTTTTCCAACTCACTAACCTTCATCTTAGAGGGTTTCTTGCCACCGCGGATGGCGTTGTTCTCAAAGGAGAACTCGTTTTCTCTGATGACAGCCCTGCTGTCTTTGTCTCCGACGTATGTGACGACGTACATATCCGGGGCCCACATTTCAAACTCTCGCTCCCAGTTAATGATGGTGGACAGGGGGGCACTCACCAGGAACGGACCCTTCGAATGACCCTGGAGAACAAGACACCAGCATTTAACAATGGTTTGGCAACATTCAATTTTAACATGACATTTCTAAACTTACAAATACGTAATACACTATTTGGCAACAGCATTTTATGAAAACACACACAACCATTTAAAACGTTGGGGACGGTTAAGAATACTTTATTCTATGTAAAGAAAGTAAGGAAGCATTAAACTGACCAAGTGTCAGTAATGTTACAATAAATGCTGTTCTTTTGAACTTTCTAATCTACAAAATTATCATAGTTTTCCACAAAAATATTCAACTGTTTTCAACATTGAGCATGAGAAATATTTTTTGAGCACCAAACATTAGAGTGATTTCTGAAGGATCATGTGACCCTGAAGACTGAAATAATGACGCTGAAAATCCAGTTTGTTTGAATATACAAAATATATTCAAACAAAAGCATAAAACCACACACCTCTTTATACAGTGAATAGAGGAAAACAGCAGTTTGCACGGTCTTTCCCAGACCCATCTCGTCTGCCAGGATGGTGTCGGTTCCCTGAGCCCAGGAGAAGCGGAGCCAGTTGAGCCCCTCCAGCTGGTACGGATGCAGCGTCCCGCCCGTAGTGTCCAGATACTCTGGCTGACGGTCAAATTTAATAGTAGGCTACAGGAGGATAAGTAATGGGTTTTAGCCATCGATGAGCAAGTGAAGGGTGCAGTTGGGTCAAAAAGGTGCTGCAAGTAGTGTGTAGGATCAAAACAATGAAGCTCACTTACATCCACCACAGGGTTCTCTGGAGGTCGGTCCAGTTTCCGCATCTTTCCTCTGATCTTCATCTTCTTTCCTGGTTTACCTTCATCACCCATCATCAACTCCCTTTAAGAGGGAAAAAAAAATGAATCTGATGAGGTGTGGATCAATGTGCGCATTTTCTTGCATTTTCAGGTTTTGTGTTATCAAGTCTAGGGTAATGAATTAATTTCTTAAAATTAAAAAAGAAAATGTTTTTCATATTCTTTTGTACAACGTTCACTGCCTTGATGCCAAAGTTTTTCTTGCATACCAAAAGGTAACTAAAACTTATTTCATTTTTTTGCAATTTAAAGTTATTAGACAAAATAAAGTTATTAGACAAAAACACTTTCTAATTTGAATTCTACTACCAACTACCATTCAACTACCATCTGGAAATATTTTAATTTTAAAAAAACTAAAATTGAACCGAAACAACTAAAATAAAACAAATAGTAATCCTTAAATTACGTAAGCAAGGAAACCGAAACTTTTTATAAAAAGGTACTTCAAAACATCGATAAAAAAAAGAATAAATAAAAAACAAAAATAAAAATAAACCTAAATAGTAATAATAAAGAAAAAAATTCTAAAACCAAAATTAAAATGAGAACTGAAAATATATTTTAAAAACTCCAATGCAAAATATTAATATAAATTATAATAGTACATAAATAATAAATAAAATAAAAATAAATTCAACCTAAATATCAATATTTTAAAAAGGAAGTTACAAAAGCACATACAATTAACGAAAACTAAAAATATGAATTAAAAAAAATAATCCAAGTCAAAACTATAATAGTATATAAATAACACTAAAATAACATTGTCACGAATTGCATAAAACATTTAAATAACAAATGTATATTAAAGCGTTTCAGCATGTTTCTTCACATTATTTTGGAAGTTAAATACTCTGCTGTTTTGCATATTTAACAGCAGTTTCCGTGCACATATATATACCTGTGGTTCCAGTACTGCAGTTTGAAGGTGTCAAACTCTGGTATATCCATATCCTCTGCCTCCCAGGTGGCTTGATCATATGTCAAATCCCTCCACTTGATGAGGTAGTGACAGTTATTCTTCTTATCCACACTGAAAAGAATAAAACACAAGAGGTACGACAAAGTGAGCAAAGCCATGAAACTGATCCAAAGCGTTTCAAGCCAAAGTTCTTGAAGCTCATCTCACCTATGGTTCAGGACACGGTGAATCATCATCCACTCCATCTTGATGCCAAAGCGGTAGTACTTCTCCTCCATCTTAGCATAGGTGGGGTCTTTCTTCTTCCTCTTGTCGCTCTTCTCCTCCTCTCCATCGCCGCCGAAGTCTATGGGTGTGGGTTCGTCCATGTCGTTCTTGCGCTGGTAGTTTCTGAACATCACCTGACAGTGCATCTCCAGCTAGAGAGAGTGAGAGAAGATGCGGGCCAAGATTAGGACCAAGCAAACTAATTGAGTGTGAATTCAGCCTGAATCTGGATTCAAAATGGCATTTTAAGACCACAATAAGAACCAGTGCAGTTACCTGCAGCTCAGAAACCCAGGAGCAGTGCCAGTAGGACATATTATGCCATTTAACGAAGAACTCCCTATCAGGGCGACCAGCCAATGGTTTGGGGTTGGGAGCACCAGCTGGGAGGTCACTGGGCCGCGGCACAGGGGTCGGGGGAGGAGGTTCACTCCAGCGCCAGGTCAGAATCTTCCGCACCTTACCTTTCATAGTAGGACACTGGAGGGAAAAAATGAGGTGTAAATGATTTCACGATGCGCAAAGGGAAGTTTCAATGTGGAAAAACTCAAACCTGTATTTCTTGTATACATTATCATCAAAAATAAAAAGCAATGGTTAATTAAATATATACCTAATTAAGTCTAAATATATTAAAAAGTGGACTGAAAAGAATAATACCCATACATTACTAATACTCATATTTAAGCATATTTATTAAAATTATCAAAGCTAGGTTATTTGTACATTTGAATCCCAATTATTTATAAACAACATTTATATTCATTCTAAATTATATGTCTAAATAATTCAAAAGTAGTTTTTTTTGCATATTAGAGTCCCAATTATATTTACTTTAGCTACTTATATTTGAATATTATTTATTATGCATGTATATTACATTAGATTGGCATTTCAATAGTTTTGCAAAGCAGGCTATTTGTACATGCTATTTAAGTCCCAAATAAAAAAAAATTATTTCTATAGTAATTATGTTTATAACGTACTTTATATAATATACAAGTATAAGTATTAATTATATATTGATGTTATTTACATTATATTATAATTCGAAAGCAAGCTATTTGTAAACTATTTGAGTCCCAATTAAATTTACACTTAAATACTATATTTATTTATTATGCATGTATATAATATAAAATATACCAAATATTAGATTGACGAAAATGTATATATTAATCGCATTACGTTTATATTAATTATACTACAATTCAAAAGTACACTGTTTGTACTGAATAAAACTATTTTGCATTTATAATTATATTTTGTTTTGGTAGTACATTTGTATAACTTCTATAATTTACGGTCATCTAAAAATATTAATAGTACTATGCACGTATATTATATAAAATATTTTAATGGTATTACACTAGGGATGCACCGATACCGATACTGGTCTCGGTATCGGGCCCGATACTGTTCTCCTGTACTCGTACTCGTTAAAATGCCCAGATACCAAACACCGATACCACACAGCATGTGATAAGCGCCATATTCAGACAAAGAAACACCAACAACAGACAGCAGAAAGGAGTTAAGGATGTCTACTACGAAGTATATGTATGCAATGAATATAATGTTAAACATTCAGTATTAACTCCTGTATAGCTGGTGTGCGCGAGCTGATAAACAAAGCACGCTGAGTGGATTGAGCGCGGCGGCGCAGATGCGTGAGCTTGTCGAGTGAATATCCCTTTCTCACAGACATCACTGGAAAGCTTGTAGTTCGGTCGGATATGTCAAAAAGTAGTAAGTAAAACAATGCACACGTTACTTAACGGTAGGGAGACAGAGAGAGAGAGTACGCGCAATTCTGTTGTGTGATCTTTGATGTTCACTCACTTAGCACATGCATCATTTGGATTAAAACGAAATCGTAAAAATAAAACCATTCATAGGGGCATTCACTATAAACATCATTTATTTTCAACCTTAGGCATACACGACTTTCTGGCGAAAGTGAATCTAGCAGCCTGTGTGAAATGCGCTAGACTGTACTAGCCTACTGTCCTCTCATTCTGCATCAGTACAAATACGTGTGCGCGTTGCGCGTGTTTTGCTTGCTCGAGTGTTTCTGCATTATATGAGTGGCTTTGGAATAAAAATCGCAGCACGTTTCAGATGAAAAAACGCGACTTCTATTTCTGAAAATATCACAGTTAGGAGATTTATAATGAGTGGTTCCCTGCATTATTACAGCAAAGCGAGTGATTACAGTACTGAGCCGCTGCAATGGAGCAGCTCTAATGCTATTAAATTAAAGATTATGTACCATAGAGCAAAA